TTGTCGTTTATAGTAGAAAGAATTTTATTGAAGAAGTTTTCTTTTTTCTTTTTTATTGTAAATGATTATAATATCTGACAGTACATATGCCTAACATAGTAAAAGTCACTTTGTTTTTATTTAGGTAAAAGGAATATTTGCCACATCTCAATCTTTGCTTGCTCGAATAATTCAAGATCACAATTAAACAAAAGAAGAAAATATTGTAATAGATTTTAAAAGTTTGATTTTATTTTTTTCGTCGTTCAATAAATTGTTGTCGTTCAATCATTTGTTCCCAACGTCGATGATCAAGTTTACTTATATCATCATATTGTGCTATCATCATTAAATATTGTGTTAAATTAAATAACTCTCTATCAGTTGTACGTGTAAAATGTGCACGTTTAAATGGACGAATTTTTAAACCATTTAATGGATTTAATAAAAAATTTCTTGATACATCATCAAACATAATTGTATTTTTTTCTGAATAAAGTGTTGGATATTTTTCCCATATAACAGGTAATGGTTTAACATCTTGTAGACCAAATTCTTTTGTATAAACAGATATCATTGCACCAGAATCCCTTAACAAAAAAAAAAAAAGATAAAAGTTCATTTTTAAATTTTCCTTTTTCTTTTCTAACGTGTCACCATTTCGAAATTTAAGACAAAAAAAAATGCTTTTGACAGTTTTTATCATAGTTGAATAGAACTCATCGAGTTACCTATAGTAAATCTTGCTTTTGACGTATACAAATGATTTTCTTTTACACATTCAGAAAAAAAATGATCATATAAGAGATGAAGTGTGACCAAATAATTTAATGGAAAATCTTTGAGAGTACATTGTTCAATGCAGCTTTTTGCACTAATGCTGAATATGTCATCATCTTTGTTTCAAAAAAAAAAGCTTTCACAATCTGAAAATCTTTAATCTAATTCAGAAGCTTTTACACATCTTTAACTTTAGTGAGTAGATGTATCAAATAGAAAAACAGCACTCTGAAAATTTTATCTAGTTTGTAGTTGTGCTTTTAAGTGTGCCCACCCACTGCACAGAACATGTCTTTTTTGTAACATCTTTAGTTTAAAAAAATGATTTACTTTTTTTTGTTTTTTTTGGATAACGAAAGTTTTATAACAAAGCTGTTATTACGGAACAATAGAGCAAGAGCTTTACTTTCTGAATCTGCACAATGGATTTCTTATGTATGCTAATTTGTTTGTAAAATGATACTTTTCTCTTAAGTAACGAAAATCTGGCCATTTTTTGAAACTAAGATTTCTTTGATATCTTAAAAACTTAAAATTTTTCATTAAATGTTTAGCTTGTTGTCCATTGTATTTTGTAGATATCCTATTCAGAATCAGTGCAAAAATAAGTGATTCAATACTGAAAACTAATGTCCGTTAAATGTCGACTTTAGCAGAAACATGAATAGAGCTCGCAAACTTTATTCAGGATCCGACGGGCTTTGAAAGTACCCTATTCGATGTAGATTTTTCCACTGATTCTAAATATGATACTTGTTTCTTTAGTGCAATTGAACTTCTTTCGGTCAAAATTTTAGAATGCTAACTTTTATCTATGTTATTTTGCTATTATTTCAAAAAAATCAATTTTTGAAAAAATAGTTCTCAAAAAAGTATCGATACATTTTTTTTCCTAATTATATGATAAATAAAATAAAAAGAACAATTTCGATAAATATTTAGGCTATTGAGACTTGATAATTTTAATTCATTTGAATTTTTATAGGGTGTTCTGATTTTTTGAAAACCTAATTATTACTACAAAAACATCGTTTGAATATGTCAAATAGAATATTTCTATAACTAACTCAATGAACTCCATTCAATCATAGTAAAAAAAGAACTATAATTTTTTTTTCTCAAATTTCGAGTTGCTAGCATCTTATTATCTTAAAAAAACCTACATATAAAAAATAATTTTATAATTAAATGTTGTATCTGTTGTTCGACCTTGTGAAATAGCTTCAATACCAAGTAATTTCATTTTTGATTCAATCCATTTCATAGATGTAGCTGACCATATACCAATATCATAATGTTCATAAATAGTTGTTAAAAATTCATGTAAATATGGTCTCATTAATTCTGCACCTGTTTCAGCAGCACTACGATGATCAAATAATGTATAATCAATATCTAATACAAGTAATTTTTTTCCTGGTCGTGGTTCATTTAAAATTTTTCCTTGATATGTATTTATTCGACGTTCTAATTTAATTCGTACTTCTTCACGTTTATCTAATGGTATTGTATCAGGATCTTCAATCCATGTTGTATCTTGTTGTTCTTCTTCTTGTCCTTCTGATAAATCAGGTTGAACTGGTTTTAATAAATTTAATTCAGTTATTGATTCTTCTGGTGTACCCATTAACATAATTTTTGATGAAAGATTTAATTCATCTATTGTTGTTGTATTTGTTATAACACCTGATGTTTTTAATTTTAAACCCATTAATTTTTGTCGATCTGGTAAAATATGTGTTTGTTCATAAATTAAACTTTTTAATTCACTTAATGTTTGTGTTGATTGAAGATCAAATATTAATTCTTGTTTATTCCATTTTAGAATTATTTTATTATTATCCATCTTCAAAAATTAAGAAAAACTTTTATTTTTATTTATTTTTTCTTCTTGTCATTATATATGTATATTAATATATCAAAGAAATCAAATAGAAAAAAAAAAGATATTCTCGTCGCTATTCTCCTATGACATAGATCAGAAAGTGTATGAGAGAAAAAAATTGATTTAAGAGTTTTTTTTTTGTTTGTTTTTTGAATTAGTTTTTTTTTGTACTTGTAGCGTAAATCAAATCTTCATAGGTATGAAGCCACATTCGACCTGATTTTTCAAGTGATCTAAAGAGAAAATAAATGAACTTTGAATGATTATCAAAAAATAACTCTAGCATTTTGTTTACGTTAAAATATCAAGAAACGATCGTCCCAAAGGTTTAACAATATATGGAATGTTATATTTTCGGCATAAATTCATCACATCTGGTTGAATTTTATAGAGATTATGACGAGGCATCGTTGGAAATAAACTAGAAAACACAAAAACCAAAAGAAAAACAATTCTATTTTTGTGTATAAAATAATTAATTTTCTAATTACTGATGTTCAATTTGAAAATTTAAATGACCTGTAAACCAATCATTGAATGGTGATTTAATAATATTACATGTTGCTTTTAATTGAAGTCGAAACCATGATAATTTTAAATCATCATATGAAACATCCATAACAACATGATTTGATTGTGAGACAATAACTATTTAAAAAAAAATACTTTTATGCAAAACAAAAAAAAAATACTTTTTTTTGAAAACGAGACACATACCGAACCAAGTACCTTCGAACGCACTTTAAAGAAAGGAAAAGAGACAAACAAATAAAAAAATAGTTTCTAAAAATAAAAAAAAAAAACAAGTTTTAATTACCGAACTAAAAAAAGAAATTTTAATGCTCCGAGTAAACCAAGTTTTAATGGTAATAATGAAAAGAGTTTTATGTAACACAGAGATAACCAAGCAAGATCCTAATTAGAAAATGAAATCAATCATTTATTGTTCTTTTTTATAAATCTTACTGTCCATTTTCGTCGTTGAACAGCATAGCGTATTGTCATAAATTGAAAGTAGAGAGGAAATAATAGTGGTGCCGCTAAAATTTTTCAAATTAATATATATTTTTCAAATCTATTATTTATTAATTTTTACCAATAAAAAAATATAAATGTTGAAGATTATAGGGTATGTTTGTTCCATATTTTGCATTCATTTGAGCTTTCTATAATGCCAAAAGTAAAATCATCTTATGATAAAAAAAATAATAATAATAAAAAAAACAATTACTCGTATTGGAATTTGATTTCCTAATAAAAATAATGGTTCTACACGAGTATCTGGATCTTTATCGATGATATTGGGTTTTGCATGATGTTGAAAATGCATATTATTCCACCAATCAGCACTTCCCCCCTAAACATATCATTCAAAAAGCAAAATCAATATTTTACAACAACAAACTTTGATGAAACCCATAAAAAATTGATGAACTACATGATTCCATGAAGGTTTTTTGAATACAGATAAATGTCCAAGATCATGTTGAATCCAACCACATTGAGCCTAAATTACGAAGAAAATTCATAAATTTCAAAAAAGAAAAATCAAACAAAACTGAATAAACATACTGCAGCAATAACATAACAAAGAAGTGCTGTTAAATAAGATAACCAACTTGTACCAAAACGAAATAAAACAAAATAAGCTGCAAAATCAAGAGCCAATATATGTAAACAAGTTATAATAAAGAAGAATCGACTTGGTTGAAAAAGTTTCTGAAATACAAACAATAAATCTCTCTTGAGTGTTTTCTTTTTTATTATGCATAAAAAGAAACGAAGCTTACTTTAGAAATAGCTTTTTGTCTTAATTGTTCAAAATCATGTTTTAATCTTTGATCATCTGTTGTATAGTCGTTATTCTCGTCATTAATTACATCACCGATATAAAATGCTTTGAGATATTTTTGAACTAGCGCAAGATTAGGATGAAAAGCAAGAAATGCTTCCTATAAATGAAAAAAAAAATCATTTTTGGTTTTTCATTAAATATCTTATTTCGTACACTAGCATCTTGTCCTGCATAATGATTGAGAGTAACTTGTCCACCAGGATGTTTAATCCAATTCGTAACATCATAAACATGTTTATCAATAACAATCCATCGATCTTTTTTATTTGAATGACGACGAATTTCATCCCATGTGTATTGTCGTTTATCATTTTTATTATTGATAATCATCGGATTTGTCGTTGTCATTATTGAGGATTGTTCTTGTTGATCATCGACTGATAAGGGAGGATAACAGTTTTTACTACCTCTACCCATAATTTTCGATGATCTATAAGTAATATTCCATGGCATTTTATTTTCTTAGTAAGAAAATATAGTTGAGAACACACTATAAGAGAAAGCCGAGATATACTATATGATGCGCGATGTATCTTTCTTTTTTCTTTCTCCACTTTTTCTTTCCTCTGGTTATTCTCTAAACTGACAAGATGAATACCCAACAAAAAAAAGAACGGCATAAAATTTTTTCGTCTCACTCATAAAGCTCACTTCCACAGGTGGTATTCGATGAGTGCGGCTTGCCAACAACTTCTTTGTCACTGTAAACACTAAAAGAAAACAAAAGAACAAAGACAAAAAGAATTACGAACGCAGGCATGCATGTCTTACTTTAATGTTTCTATGGATTTTTCCCTTTTCTTTATTTTTCTTTGAACTGATTATAGAAAAGAATAGAAGAAGAAGAAGAAAAAAAAATTAACACTAAAATAAATATATCCATTAATGGACATGAAACATATCGATAATTGAAAGAAAATGAGAGCAACAAGCAAACTTTTATTTCAACGAAAAACTAACAAACAAATCATTGCAAGTTCTTTTTGAAATAAAAATGATGTAAAAAAGAACAACTAAATAGTTCATCTTGTCTCAAGAGAAAAAGAAAAACAGAAACCATACTGTGATATATATATTATACAAAAGAAGAGAACTGTCATTTTTATTCAAGGTCTCAGGATATAGCATGCTAAAGAAAGAAACGAAAAAGAAAATATAGAAACTTCAATGGCATTGACATCGGTTCGTACTTATGTCAATCGTTGACACTGGCAACAACAAAAAAAAATGAATCAGACATGTTTCAATATTTGATTAGCAGACACAAAAACACATTATGGCATTTTTTTTAAAATATACTTATAATGACAGTAAACAGAATTGTTAATGTTAAATGAAAGAATAAAATAAAAAACAAAAAAGTATAAAAATCATTTGAAAGGATCAATATACTATTATTTACAAACATCTTCTGTAACGATATAGAAGTCATCATTTGAGTGAAATGTACTTGTTAAATAGAATATTAGTCACGGTTCAACATAACGGAAATGATGAGGAAAACAAAAAACCTTGTATAATCATGAATAAAAACATAAAAGCAAGGAAATTGATTGAGATAGTTAGAACAATCCATTTCCTTTTGAAATTGATCTTTTACATGAATAAATTTGATCTTAAGACTTATAAATAGAATCATAGAAGTTTGTCTAGATCGTCAAATAAAAATAAAACTCTTATAAATTTATTGCATGATAAAAAATAAAAATTTTCAAATTAAATTGTTGTATTTAAGTTTGTTAAACGTTGACTTAATTCCCATAATTTTTGACATTGTTGTCTATCATGTGCAATTGAATTCATTTCAGCTATAGCAGGTCGACAATATGGTGGTGGTAATATTTTACTAGGAACAAAATAAGCACCACGTATATTGTTTTGTTCAATATCAGGATGAGTAGCAACATAAAGTGTTGTCATAGCACCATTATCAAGTGATCGCATAAATGGTCTCGTCAAACGTCCAGTCCATTGATTATGTCTCCAAATTGATGTTTTGATTACACCCTTGAAAGAAAAATAACATGTAACTCTTACAGACAAACAATAACAAAATAATATTCGCAACCAAGTTAGAAACAAATGATCTTGATAAGAAGAGTTTTGACAGTTGAATGGAATATCAGTGAGTATAAAAAGATTGATTACACTAATTATCTATGATTTTCAGATGGCAAAAAAATATCGTATAGAGAGTTTTCATAATTATTTTATATAGATAGACGGTAGTACTCTTTTTTAATATGATGAAAGAAGCAAACGCTAAAATTTATATATTATATGAAGATTAAGTGTTCGCTTATGTTGAGAAAATGTTTTATAACAACATATTTCTCGTTTTTTTCTGCATATGAAGATTCTTTTTATTCTACAAAACATAAAAGAGTATTTTAAAAATCAAAATAATCAATCATTGTTAACTGCTTTTACTTCTATGCACAGATAATTTTTGTTTGCTCTAGTTTTGACTAAAAACTCAAGAAATAATTAAATCGAAAGCATGTAAAAATTATAAATGCATATAATCAATGATCGTATATTTTCGAGCTTTCATTATTCTCGATCAATATTCTAAGTCATATGTTACGTAATAGTCAAGGATGCACTTCTTCAGCACATTTTGTCTATTCTCCAATCATTAATAAACGAGGTATATGTACTCAAGGGATCATGCCAGGCAAAAACGAAACATTGTCATCTATCATTTGACTGTCACTCTTTACTAGTTTTATTTTTCTGAATAAATCCATTCGGCATCTGCATATGTAAAAGTATAGGTTCTTTCAGCTAACTATTAATTAAAAAGTAATTAGCGCACAAATCTCTAATTATATCAGAAAAAAGTCCAAAAACTTTTCTCGTCACAAAACTTGTTTTCTAGAGATTTTGAAGAAGAGCTTATACTATTATGGATTGGTTTTGAACTTCTCATTTGATAATAGGAGCATTTTGTTTTTCGTTTGCATATTCACACTTAATTACGTCGCTAATGAAAAGTAAGTTGATTTTGTTGAAAAAATCTAGGTATGCTGAGAAAAAACTTTAGATAGAGATTTTGTATTTCACAAGGTGTCTATGGAATGTAATATTTAGTTTTCAAAAAAAAGCTGTTTCAATTTAGAGGTTTTGAAACTGCGATACATGAAGTAAAAGTCAATGTCTCTTTTTTGCGTCACATCGCTAACGTTAGCTTTTTTTTACTAATAACTTCTCTAGACAAAGATTTCTAATGCTGATTTTTTTCCGAATATCTAAAGTAACTTCACATATATGTAACACATAAAAATTATCTCTAGAAAAGTTCGTTATCCGAAGATACACTTATTTTTTTCTTATGTTGTAAAGTCACGTCGTTAACGATTTCAATCTTACAGGATGTAAAACATTGCAATAGACTTTCGATTCAGGTCCAAGTCGATGTACAAGTTCAGTACACATCATAGCATTGGCTAATTTTGATTGACAATAACATTCAAAGGCTGCTCGAAATTTACCAACGGTTGATGTTGGAAAAGGTTGATTACGTTCTTGATCATCAAATTTAATATTTGATGCTTGTGAATGTGCACCACTTGATACAATAACAATACGTGATGAAACACATGCTCGAAGATCATCTAATAATAAATTTGTTAAAAGAAAATGTCCTAAATGATTTGTTGCAAATTGTAATTCTTCACCAATTTCAGATAATTGAAATTCCGATAAAAATACTCCAGCATTATTTATTAAAAGATGTAATGGTAATTGTCTTTGATGAAATTCATCAACAAATTTTCGTATACTTGTTAATGATGAAAGATCAAGTTGAATAAAATCAAGTGGTGCATCAGGCATATTTATTTCTTGTCGAATTGTTTTAATAGCATGTTGTGCTTTTTCTTCATTACGTGAAGCAATAATAACATGCCAACCTTTTCGTACTAATTCACGTGCTGTTACTTTTCCAATTCCTTCATTAGCACCAGTAATAATAGCTACACGAGATCGTGATTCAATTTGTGGAATTTCATCAAAACTATACTGTGGCATCTAGAAAAGGAAAAACAAAGGTAAGAATTACTTATTTAATTATTTTTCTTATACGTCGTTGATTATCAATGGTAAATATAAAATTAAAAAATTTATTACTTTCATTCATCATTTCTAATAAATTTTCTGTATAATTAATCATATTAACTTGATGATATTTTCGATTATGTTGTATTATTGAATGATCTATTTCATCGATCATATCATCTCGAGATGGTAATGATATTTTTCCACATAAAACACGTGCAATTATATGTGATTGTATTTCCGCAAGTGGAAATGGTGTAATACGAAAAGGAATAGTCAAAAACGAAAGTGTACCATCAAGAAAATCAGCATGAAATAATTGTTTATATAATGGATAAACATAATGATATTTTAATAAACGATTTTGATCAACTTGTAATTTTCCCCGAAGAAATGGCATTCGATATTCATAACCAGTTGCAAAAATAATTAAATCAGGTTTAATTGAAGTTTGATTTTTAAAATAAACTGTATCTTTATCAATACGTTCAATAGGTGGTACTATAGAAAATGTTGTTGATAAATAATCAGTACATAATTGTTTTCCACTTTGTCGAAGTTTATCAAGAACCAATTCAAAATCTTCTTGATTTTCTTCTTTCATAGATAATATTACTTGTTTAGCTACTGATGCTAATTCACCTGATATATCAATACCAGAATGACTAGCACCAACAACAATAACACATTTATCTCGATAATTATCTGGTTCTCGATACGAACGAGAATGATATATGGGAAATGTTTGACTATGTAAACCAGGAATATCATCCGGGATATACATTTCAGAATAGTGACCGTTTGCTACACATATTGCATCAAATTGTTCTGAATATATTGCAAAGTATTCATTTTTCTCTAATAAATTTTGATACGGACGTTTAACTATTTCATCCTCTTTATCAATACGTACTGTATATGTGACTGTAAATGTTTCATCAATTGAATTAACTTTTGCATTTAAAACTATATATTTAAATAGTTGATGTTTTTCAACATAAGCCAGTAAATATTCTTCTACTTCTTTACAACCAATATATGATTCAGGTTCATTATTTGAAAAAGGAAAATCACTAAATTGCATAACAGAACAAGGTAAATTTGTTTTTAAAGCTTTATAAACAGCTGTTGTCTCTGATGTTCCATCAGGATCATAATGCCATTGACCACAAATAAATGGATTTTGTTCAAAAATAGTTGGTTCACAATTATAATCATCAGATGCAAGAACACGGGCACAAGCTAAACCTGATGCACCACCACCAACAATACATATTCGATGACGTTTCATATTTAAAACAGAGAATTTTCTCGCTAAAACAAAAATCTAATGACATTTTTCTATGAAATCTCTGACGAATAATTCATCAAACTATATATCTATCATGATAATAATAAATTATGTGAAAGGAAGGCAATTTTAATAAAGAATTTGAACGAAAATGAAAATATTTTTGATTCAAAACTTTTTTAAAAAGTAATCAGAGAATCTTTTTGAGATATTGTTATCTATGCTATGTCATAAAGGTCGCTGGTTTTTTTTTACATGTGTCATCTTACATTTTACGATAAAAGATAGGTTCATTCATTTGATAAAGTGACTACTTCTTTTAAATCTTGATTTATTTATTCATTTGGTAAAATAATTGACGAATGAAATATTTCCATGAACCCTCTATGTTGAAAGTTTATTTTATAATCAATCTGTATCTTTATTTTTAACTGTTCTTTTTTCTAAACTATAAAATTTATCCATAGATTTCACAAAATTTATTTTATTTGTATTTTATATTTTTCTATTATCAATTGATTCTAGCGACAAATGTCACAGAGGTTCTCTAAATTACTTTAAAAAAAAGAAATATGGTTGTTTATCAATCTAAAATGATCATCTGTTTTCCTTCTGGGCTATTATGATATTGAAGGATTAATCTCTAGAAAAAAAAAAAAAAAAAAAAAACCGAGAAGAAATATTCTTTACAGATATGTTAATTGTTTATTATGGCATTCGAATATTTCATTTAATTATTTTAATTCTTTTATTTAAATATGGTATTACAATAAGTTCATTATCTGATTTAATATCATCAACAAATTTATGTACAACAATAACAATACAAAATCAATCATTTGGTGTTATACATAGTTTAAATTTTTATTCTGGTCAATCTCAACCACCAAATATATCATGTTCATGGATAATAAATAATTCTCAAACATCAAAATGGTCAAATTATATACTTTCATTACGTGTTATTGAATTAGAAAATGATCCAACACATTGGTCAAATGAATTAACATTTTGGTCAGGTAGTAGACAAATATCAATTGATGATATTAATAAACGAACATATGTTATATCAACATCATCATCATCAATACAAATATATTTTCGTACAAAACCACCATTATTACAAACATTTAATCCATATATACGTACTAATTTACGTATACGTCGTTTTTTAATTGAATTTATTTATATTAATAATGATATAATAACAAATAAAAATGAAAATTATTTTCGTTGTTTATCAAGTGGAATATTTATACCTAAACAATGGAAATGTAATTGTATATATGAATGTTCATATGAAGATTATAGTGATGAAGATAATTGTTCATTATGTTCAATGTATGAACCATCAAATAGTTTATTATGTCAATCAAATGAAATTTGGTGTTTACCAAATGTATCGAATTCTCTTAATGATGATTTAATTGAAACAGAATATGATGAAGATAATTGGATGATATCTCATATAAATTATAGCCGAAAAATTGATCCAAAAGGTAATAATAAATATCATATCAAATAAGTCACAATCTTTATTTAAATTTGAATTAGATTTTAGTTTTGTTACTTTTAAAACTTAAAGAAATGAAAATTTATTTTTTTGCTTTGTTTTATATTTGTAAATTTCTTTCACATGTACCGAAATCAAGAAACGCAGATTCTACTATACCGAATACCGAGAGGTTCACATTCTGTGCATGCCTAATCATGCAAAAGTATAAAAGAAATATTATATAATAATTGAAGAACATTTGCTTCCTTGTATTTATCACAACAACACGTTTTTCTTGTCATTTTGATGATATACTATTTGAATAAATATTGACTGTAATTTAAAACTACGATGACTCATAAATAATATTCGAGTACATTTCTCTATAAAGATTAGAAATGTGTAGTATTGGTGTAACTAATAAGTAGTCAGTCAATAATACAAGGTCTACCACTGAGATACTGATATCCGTGTTTGTTGCAACATTGAAATGCTAGCTCAGTTAACGTATGACTCTTTTGTAACGATATGTTCTAGTGCTTTATAAACCACTGGTGTCAATGTGCATTATGTACATTCAAATAAGCGACGAATATTCTGAAAAGAGTTTGTAATCTTAGTTTATTGTTGCGAAGATATAGTACTTTTAAGATAGTTTTTAAATGAATGCTGGAACAGCAGAAAAACTGATGTTCGAATTTCTATTTCAAATTTTGAAAAATGGCATTCCTGATGGAGATTGATTCGGATATTAACAGCGACAAGATCTGAAACCTTTACAAGAAACTATTTTCAAGCTAACTTTGGAAAACTAGTTTTTCTAGTCTTTCTGAATTGATTTACAATTTACAAGCGATTTATCATTGTGGAGAATCCTCCTAGCAAGTCGATAGAGCCTGTTGAACATCTTTTGATATTCTCGATAAATTTTTGTAATCGAAATTGAATAGCTACTTCGAAGATATGATTCTGACTTAGTGTATTTGGTGATTAATGCACAGAAATCAACCTAACGGACTCTATCAGTCATTAGTCAGTAAACTGAAACTGAACAAATATTTTGAAAAAATTAATTTAAAAAAAATTGTTTTGTATTTTAAAGGAGTTTGTATTCCACATGATGAGTATCAACAATGTTCATATTCAACAAATGTATCTAATTGTGAAAGAATTCTTGCATGGCGACAAGATCATGGTCAAATTTTACTTAATAATTTAATTATTGATAAATATCAATCATTATGTTTTGTTATAATTGCAAAAGAAGAATATAAAATAAAATTATTTATAAATCAATATCAATTTATTGAACAACGACCTGATCTTGAATTAATTATTTATGATGGAAGTGAACAACAAAATCAAATTCTTTTATCATCAAATTGGTTACTAAATAAAGAAATTATTCAAACACGTCAACATCATATAGCAACAATTATTATTCGAAAACGTTCTATTGAATCAATATCAATCATAACTGATCCACAGCATGATGATGATGTTATTGGATATTTAGATACAAAAAAAAGTATTCAAAGACGTGATACAAATTTAATTCTATTAAATATAACATGGTTAACAAGTATTTGTCCAGATGATCAAAAATTATGTGGTGGTCATTTTGAAACAAAATGTTATACAAAACAACAACGATGTGATGGTAAATTTAATAATCTGAAATATAGTTTTTTTTTTTAAATAAATTTCTTTGTTTTTGTCTTTCTTTTTATTTAAAATAAAACAGGTATTTGGGATTGTATTAGTGGTGATGATGAACTCGGTTGTTCACCAGAATCATGTCCAACAACATTTGCATGTAATGATCGTTTACGTTTACCATCTGATCAACCAAGATGTTTTACATGGTCAGAACGTTGCAATGGAAATGCATTTTGTGCTAATCGTACCGATGAAAAATTTTGTTCTAATTGGTGGTGTAATTCAAATAATGGAACATTTTTATGTAAAAATTTAAATTGTATTTATGAAATATGGGTTTGTGATGGTAAGAAAATGTTATTTCTATTGAGATTGATACCTATATAGTTCTTGCATATGATTATGGCCACTATAGCAATCATAGATGTCCATCGTGGATGAAAGTCCACAGCTGCCGCACCGCGATAGTTTTTCAAAAGCTGATACCACCCACTACCGCACCGCGATGGTATGAAAGGGAAAAGCTACCGCGCCGCTGCCGCGACTTATTAAAAAAAAAATTCTACCGCTACCGCGCCGCTGCCGCAGAGGTATTAAAAACGTATTCGAAACAATAACCTGTTCCCCCAAAGTAAGAAACAAAATATTATTAATTTTTCATGCAAGAAAATGAGTGATAAAAATTAATCTATTAAATCTTTAGTTGTATTGAAAACATGCAATTAGTAATCAAAAGACATATAAGAACATGGAATCTTAGATTGTATCGAAAGAGATATATCGCCCAAATCAGGTAGCCTCATCCGATTTGTTCAACTGATATTTCAGATCAGGACAAAATAAGAGTGGTAGAAGTTTATAGTTGGCAGAGACTATGGTGTCAAATGGGTGAGATTATGTAGAGTAGGGCTTTAGATCCAAAATAAAACGATGCATTCATATCATGCTAATGTGATTCATGATAATCTCTTTTCAATCGTGTATGCTAAAACAAAAACCACATATTCCTGTGACCATCTTTTATTCCTGTTATTATAAAACTTCATAGAACGATACTTAGCTTTCAAGAAAATCTAATCGACACATGATATTATGCATAAGTGTCGTACTTGTTACAAAGTTTAATAAAACTTGATATTTTTTTTTATCATTTTTCATCTTCAATAATGAAGCCAACAATAATAATCATGTTTTCTGAATTTCAATTTTTTTGCTAGTAATTTAATGAGAAAACATAAAAAGTATACGTACAGTTTATTTGCTCCAACTATAATAAGTTTGTTAATATCCATATACATTATCTATAAGTATAATGTTTTCAGTCGTATGTCACAGTAAAATTTATAAATCAAACAAAGACATTTTTATAACCGTAAAACTCGTCGAATAGTGGGACCTAAAGAACTTCACGATATCATGCATGTGTTAAATACAAACCCCAATACGCTTGTAACTAGAAAAACTCACTAACGTTGATGTAATTTGAAGAAACATACGTTGGTCTTAATATGAAAAAAGTATGATCAATAAAAATAAACATATTGTTACATTTGTAGTTTAAAAGTTTACAAAGAAGTTTATCAATGTTGCTTATAGTGCATATAAAGTAAACGAACCTTTAGAGTAAGAAGAAGTCAGCATTTATCAATAGCAAATCATAACAATGATAAAATTACTATAGGGGTATCTGGAATTAATTATCGATACGTATGTCAAGTCAAATCAAATCAAATATGTATTTAGCAACATTTGTTAACAAGCTCTGAAATATCATCATCATTCAGTCGTGTGATAGGAAAGAGTCTATTTATGTTTGATGACAGAAACATTGAACTGCGTTGACTGA